TATTTGTTTATCATATTTTATATTTATTTTTCAAAATTATTTCATTCACTTAAAATTTTTTATTAATAATTCAAAATTTTCAACATAAATTCAAAAATATAATTATTTACTTTAATATCCTTCCCTATAAATAATTTAAATAGCTTAAAATTCGTTACTTAATTTGCTCACACATACTTATGAAAAATTAGAAAAATTAATGAACAAGAATTTCACATTTTCGCAAAAGAGCACAATCAAATTGCAGAAATTTTAAGCAAAATTTAAATGAAAAGTATAGAATCCGCAGCATATTAACCTTTTGAGACCGGGGCTTTGGTAGCAGTAAAAGCTAGTAAAGGACGGGGAATCTTGAACCGAATGCTTTCCCCCCTTTAAGAAATCACCTCCTATTTGCAACAAAGATTCTTGTGTGTAGTTTAATGGATTCAGAGAGGGGTGCATATGTGTCGCAAAAGGAAGACCTTTGAAAGAGATAAGTGGTTAAAACCCTGGGGACGTCAAATTTGACATTTCACCCCACTTTTCAGCCTGGAAAATGGGGGAAAAAGACATGGCCACTAAAGTGGACAACCCCGTCTTTTCAAAGAGAGGACTCTATGGCCACTATAATGGCCATCCCGTCTTCAAAAGGTTAAATAATTTTGTCTCGTTCCAGAGTTAAATGTACACGAATATAACAATTTTTGAGCTGTCGATTGACGAAGTACTATTATAAAAACCAAAAGCGCAAATAATTTTCTGTCGCACATACTTGAACCACATTAATCACAGATCGATGACCTTGAACTAACTGTAATACTGAATCTCCCAAGCGGTAATTTACTGATGATTTAAAGCACTTTCATTTTCCTAAATATTGTAGGGATGGCTGAAGCAAATTCAATGTTCCTTGAAAATTTTATTTAACAGATTCATGACATTTACACTAGGCATTCGAACTTCTCGATTTATCGGGAGATTAATTTTATTCTGTAAACACTATCCGTGAATATTTTTTAGAGCACTTGCAAACTACCACAGCAGAAGGATGATAAATTATTTCTAAACACTGAAAAAACAAATATGATGATTCACTTCTTTCACATTGCCTTTGAATTTATCACAATACGATGATTTGAAGAGCTGAATAAATTTTTCATTGAGGTCTCAGGTTGCCAGAAAGCATCCTGTCGACTAATTGAAATAAAAGCAAGGAAAAGACGGAGCAGTGTTGATGCGTAATAGCTATACATGATAGATCGTAGATCCGTATTGAAAAGGAAGAAATCTGACTGTGTTGTATGCTAATATGTTGACTTGGTAATATTTATAAAACTTGGCAATCGTGGCAATTTTAATTCCATTTTTATTTCCAGCTGATATTTGTGGCCACAATCACTTGGCACTCTAGTTGTGTCTATTCACAGAACATTTATATATTTGATATTATTGCGACAGCAAGCAAGACAGCGAAATTACATCCTAGCAGGGTAGAGAGTGAAGCTGAAGTACGTAGTTATGCAATATGGAAGTACACGAAGAGAAATGTTTTGGTTTAAGTTGGTAGTTTCAGTTCCGAATTATTACGTCATCGGCGCTGCGCCATGGACCTTATAAGAGATAGACTAACCCAGTGGGCGGGGCACGCGTCACCGACATGTCGGCAAGAAAGAGTAGGGACGATCTGGTTTACTTTAACACTGAAACTTATGGCGTTTCTATCACATAACTCTTTTTAATTATTAAATGTGATACGTTCTATAGTGATGAGATTATGAAAGCCACAGTTTTTTCCAAATAGGATTTAATATACCTCATTAAAGCACTTTCTACTGCATTTCGCGCATTTTTTTCACGCGTAATTCTTGTAAAAACATCTTTACTTTGGTAAAACGGTAAAAACTCTAAGCACAAAATTTATGAACTTAATTTTGCGTACGAATAACATAAAATTAAATAAGATTGATAGTACATGAAGCTTTGAAACAAATAAAGCAAAATTAAACAAGATCTGATATATATATATTTTTAAATTTTATGTGCATTTTCAGGCAGTGGTTTATAAAATTATTATAACATTACAAGACGATCATTTATTTGATCATATGATTGTTAATTATTAACATCATATGATGATTATTTATTTTAATAATTCATAAAATTCGGAGCATAAACTTATCTCAGTGTAATGAAAATAAATAAATAAATAAAATCTGGAAGCACTCAGATTTTATGTTACGCTCAAAGGGACGTTTTTTTAACGCTTTGTGTGTTACCTCTATTTATTGAATATCACGTTCTTCGCACGTAAACAACACATTCATTTCAACAGCAGTATCACAAAATATTTGAAAACAGCATATCTTTAGAATTTCCGCGCTGGAGTTAAAAATGTTATTTTTCGCACAGTGTTGCAATTTCTCGCTTTGAACTCGTTGAATTTCTTAATCAACAATTCATTAAAGTTTTAGAAAATATGAAATGAATTAAAACAAATTCGAAATTCCGCTGTTCGGGTGGAGGATTACGTTGTTGAAAATTTGATGGCTCTAAATACCGTCGTTTTCTCACAATGCGAGAAACATACATATATTCATACAGATTATTTATTATTAAATTTCTTTAAATATAATACATGGCGATAATATTTGGTGGCAACAATTTGCAAAGCGAAACTGACGTTTATAACGAAACTGAGCAAAATGCCGTTTCGAAACTAATAGCCTTTCTCGACTACTTTCCCTTATAAATCCGAAATAAAATTTTCAGAAGAATCACACTCATGGGCTAATAAATTAAATTCACAGTAAATAAAAAAAAATCTTATGCAGAATTATATTTAAATTTTAAAAAATAATCACTATAAAATGTTAGCACAATCAATTATTACAGTTTACAATTTTGACATAAGAATAAATGTATAAAAATTATTAAGTTGTTAAAAGTGTTTATCACTATGATGTATTGTGAAATATAATTGAAATAAAACTCCTTTATATAAAATATGTTATAATATTCGCTTATAATCTTAAAATCTTATCTTCACAAGTCAAAGAGATTGATAATTTTACATTTTATCAGCCTTGTTTTAACAAAATTGGCGATTCGTTTTGTCGCTGGGATGATAACAGTTGAAATACGAGGGCTATCCAGAAAGTAGATTACGTTTTGGAATAAAAAATAAACAAAGTATAGGAAACAAATTTTATTATATACAGATGAAAGCTACACTCAAATACTACTTTTCTACATAGTCACCATACAAATTAAGGCATTTATCGTAGCGATGTACGAGCTTGGAAATTCCTTCGTCGAAAAATTCGGCCGCCTGCGCCTTCAACCACTTCGTTACCTCTTCTTGCCTTCCATCTTGCACAAAACTTGTGGTAACCAAGCTTTCCGCTGATGATTTCGTGCAACAAACTTCGCGAAATTTGTGGAAAACTCAAAGAAAGTTCCGTTATTGTGAAATTTCGATTTTCACGGACTTTAGCATCGACTTTTTCGAGAAGTTCGGCGGTCACTATGCTGGGTCTCCCACTTCGATCTTCGTCGTGAACATTGGTTCGGCCATTTTGAAATCTTATGACCCACTGACGCACTCCACCTTCAGTGATAATGTTGTCCCCATACACTTCACGAAGCTGCCGATAGATTTCTGTCGGTTTACAGTTTTTTGGCAGTCAGAAACCTTATTACTGAGCGCACCTCGCAGCTCGCGGGATTTTCAATTAACGCAGACATTTCAAACCGTCACAGTATCTGAACGGAGCACAGCACGAACCTCTCACTAGCACGGCTAGATGCAGACTGAGCTGCGCAACGCTCTGACCCCAAGATGGCCGCGCTAGCCCCGCCCCTAGCGGACACAGACGGAAACGTAATCTCCTTCCTGGATGGCCCTCGTATCTTGGGCTGCACATATCCAAACTATATACACACACACATATACATACGTAAAGAGTTTGGATATGTATATATATATATATATATATATATATATATATATAAAGTTTGGGTTTATTTAATTATAACAAAGCACACTAGGGCTATCTGCCTAAGGGGAGGGAGGCCTTCGTGGAGGATTTTCTAACGTAAACTAACTCGTAAACATGTTACACATGGGGAAAACCACGAAAACGCCCATGCAGCCAATTGCGTTCGCGGGATTCGAACGTCGGACCGAATATATATAAACTAATTACTTTAAAGGCACACATTCCAAATTGCTTACATCTTCAGTAATACTACTGATTTCAATTGAAGCAGATTCTAACGTCTTAAAGATTTAATGTTAAGTATGAAAGTATGATTTTTCAAATATGTTATGTTAAGTATGATTTTTCAAAGAGTACTCAGTTATTAATCTTAATGACATTGAATAATATCGAAATATTACTGGAACTTTATTTTGACAACAAGAAAAAATTTGCCCTTTGTAAACAAAATAGAAAAGAGTTGATATAAAATAGCTGAAGAAAAGAAAAGAATTGTTTTGAAATAGTTAACACAGTAAAGTAATGCATTATTGTAAAACGAAGGAGAAATTAAATACCAATTGCCGTTTAAAATCTATACATATAAATCATACAATATATGCAATAAAATTCGGAATCGACTGGTTGAGAACATTCAGTGATTTTGCTCATATATACAGGGCTGCATATAAATACTGTCAAGTACAATTTACTGTTATATAAGCATTATGATATAGTTCTAGTTTGTCAAGAGTAATTTTATAAGTAGTTATTTATAATCACGAGCTCCCATCGTTTAATTTTTTCTTGTTTGCTTCATTATTTACTGTTATGAAATCGGTATCCAAAATTTGTTTTTGAAAAATACGTTTGTTATGAAACACGCTTTGTCGGTTGACGATAAGCTACTGTAATAGGCCGTTCAATAAATAATATGCAATTAGTCGGCGGAAGTAAAACTGTCTTTTAATGAGCGTGAAGAAAAAATACTGGTACAGGAAGCATTTCCGTTCGCCACCAATTTATTAAATGCTTGTCATGTTCGAATTTTCTCCAGACAACGACTCAACAACTATTTTAATTCGTTTCTTATAGCGATCAAGTTCAAAAGAAATTAGAAATGGCACGCTGGTTATTTCTTTTCGTTTTAGCTGTAATTGCTGTATCTGTTTTGGAAGTTCATGGATCAGTTTTTCACAAATCAGTAAACACTGATAATGGTAAGAAATGAGATTTTCGTTTTGCTGAAGGATATATAAAACTGCATTTATTATTTTATATATAATACCAATTTTTTACTTATCTAGCAAGCCTTGCAAATAGCTACAATATTTTTTTCTTTTGAGTAAATCAACTTCTTGATAACATTACATTTTATTTGGGAATTCAAAAGCACAAGAATATAACTAATCCATCTTAAACCAAACTACTATAATCTGTTATTTTAGAATAGAAGCTCTAAAGTACCACTCGACTTGCCTGAGGAACAATAAGAACAACAGCTACAACAGACGATTTGAGTCATCTAAATTTTTTCCTCCGCTTCATCTCTGTTTAACGTATTTCGCTTTATGAAAAGTACGCAAATGAAGGATGACTTGAACTACAGTCTCATATGAGATGTACAAAGCAAGTAATGTGGGGTGATGATAACCAGCGTTACGATCACAAATGGCGAGGGCTGACAACGGCCTTGAAGTGCTTGTTTTAAAGTAACAGACTATAGTAAAAATTTTTAAATCAAATCCTTAGAACATTCTAATGCTGCAATTTCGACAATGCATAACATTTTTATCTTAATATTAAGTTCACAGAATTGTTCATATACCATAACAAAATACTGTATTTAGTTAGGTACTTTGCCTTTTATTCTAAACAAGAACAAATGCATTATAAATTGAACAATATGTTCTCATAGAATATTTACTCACAAATTTATTTCTTAAATTTTATCCTTAAATGTAAGGGAACGATCTTATTTTCGAGTAACAAGGCTAAATTATTTTCTATTCTGTGGCCAAATATTTCTCCATTCATTTTAAATTACTGTAAGGTTTATCTTAATTTATTTAACAGTTAGTTTTTATTTAAAAGTTACTTTCCTGTCTTTTCTTAAATTTCAGCTTATAGCTTCCAGCCAGAACATATTTTCAGAATCGCGGTTGAATGCAAATGAGGAGAAGTATTTCTGTGAAGTTCTACTGACTTCGTTAGAGAGCCAGAGATTCTATGCAGCGCGTGTTAGCCTTTTGGCTATACTCTCTCTAAAGCTAATTTTTACGATCTGGCGTACTTTGGTATCTGCCTTGATAGCTTCGCCGTTAATTAGCGTTAAGGACCACTCTGTTAGAATCTTGATAACTTCACCTATATCGTTTTAGTTAAGATTAAATTAGTTTTATTTCTTAGTTTCCTGAGTTCAAGCCCGAGTGGAAGCTTTATTGTAAATCCAAGAAGAAGTCTTCTGTGAACTTTATTTGGAATAATAAAGGGTATTTAACCCTTCGTGAGTTCTGTTCTCTATCTACCGAACTAAAGTGATTATTCGCTTATCAGTTCTTATTGCTCCTGAACTTTAGCTGTAAATTAAAAGCCAGGAATCTTACATTACTAATTTCAGTTGTTGTTTCAAAGGAATTTTTTTTTCCAGATTTATACTCCATTCCTAGCCGAATATATTTGATAAAGTTTATGTTGCAATACTGAGAATGTATTTTGAATAACTCAAGATTACTAAATAGCAGTCAAAACTGCAAATTCATAGCAGCATTCCTAGTACTCCTATATTGGCGGGGTTTGGAATTTTTTTGCAAGTTTATGTGCTAATGATTCAATTTATTTTAAAAATCAACTTATTTGTATTGATCTATAATGACAATAATAAACTGTAGATCATAATTTCCGAAGAATGACTCAGATCCCTGTATCATAATATCATCTCAACTATTTTTTACTATTAAAACTAACTTGAATTTTAGAAATTCTTCTGTACTTCTTCTTTATTAGAGGCCCGGTGGCGCAGTGGCTAGCTCATCGCGCAGTAGCGCCACAGGTTCGGGGTTCGCCCATCCCTAGGTTCGATAAAATGAATACCAAGTTCGCTTGGGCACTAAACACTGGGGATCTTGCGACAAGCTGACCACTTGTTCAGGGCATATGCCTACGCACCCCAGGGCCCACGGTCAAGAAAGCAGGTTTCAGGGCACTGCAGGAATTGGCCCATTAGATCTATTTGCACCACTGAGTTTAGTTTTTATAAAAATTAACCATAATAAATCAAAGATATTAAATTACCTTCTCTCATTAAAATCACGAAATATTGTCTTATTTCAGTATTCAGAATCCTTATTTCACATATTTAAGAATAAATGCTGAATTATCTATTCTTTTATTAATGCAGAATTTTTAATTAGCCACCCAGCCAAATTACACAGCCTGTCGAATTGCTATTTCAACAGTCCATCGATTAAATCTCAAACTCAAATTGCATGCGAGCCGAATGCCCGATCTGAAAACTCAGAAACCTGAAAACAAACTGACTGGCCAGATTCCTTTTAAAGCAAAATAAAAATTTTATTAAGAATTTAAAACAATATTTTAAATAAATTTTAAATCTCTCTTCATAAATAAGTATTAAAACATGCATAAACAACAATAAAAATACAGCAAAAAGAAAAAATTCGAATTTATGTTTATTTTCTCTCTGAAATTTTAAGTTTGGTACCTGTAAGACATTAATTAGTTACATTTTGTAATTCAAATACATTGACAGCTAAATATTAAATTTTTAGAATGACATTTCTTTCAAATATATCTAACTTTTTTAATTTGTAGAGACATTAGGTTAATTGGAAAAGCCGGAGAGATGAAAAAAGGGCAACCGCCTTCGCCGGGAATCGAACTGCGGACCTCTGGAATACCGGCCCAGTATGCAAACCCCTACACCACGAAGGCACGTTAGGAAAGCGGGAGAAATACCTTATAAATTAATCACTAACTTACTTTAATTTTACTAAATAATAAAAAAATTATGAAAACTTACTGAGTTTTCAGAGAAAATTTACCATCTGGGACTAAACTAGAGAATAAATAAATAATAATGTATTCTCTTTCTCTTATTTATTAAATTTTTTGAAAGCATAAATAAAAATACATATATTTATATGTATACAATTTAAAGTTATTTATTTCTTACTATAGCTTGACACCTGATGGTTTTTCATTTCTGACAAAGTTTGTAGCCTTGGAGAAAAATTATTAATTATCTTCGTCACGAATGTTCTTTGGTCAATCGGATTCTTTTTTACTAATTTTTAATTGCGGAAAAAAGCTGCTGACATACAAAAGTATATTCAAATAAAGCGATGATGTTTAATGTGAAAGTTCGCAACTGACCTTATTTATTTTTTGACAAATACAAGCAAAAGTTAATCAAATCCTTGAACAAGATTTATATCACATTACATAAAAAGTAGTTCCACTTGCATAATTTCTGGCCCATTATTACTGTTGTTTTTTAATGGAAATGAAAAATAATATAAACTCGAACTTCAGAAAATTTTTGTAATAAATACATATTGGAAATGTCTTCGTGGGCCGCATAAAATTGCTTCAGCGGTCGCCAGCATGCGACCACCGTTCTACATGATTAGTAAAGTTCTGCTTCAAGTTTGGGAACATCAAGCCTGCGATCATTTAAAATATTTCATACAAGTATAATATATGTTAGATTATATTAATTTAGATATATTTGGATAATATTAACATAATATTTCCGCGAAAGGTCTTTTGTGGTCTCCCAAATCTTCAGTAATTTTGTATTCTTTCATCTTGAAATGATACTTTATTACATCCAAAAAAATTAAAAGCTTTAAAATGAGCCGTTTAGGAAACATTTCTAATAGTTTTCGCTTTTCCTAGTGGCAAATTACTAACAAATGCTAAATTTCTAATCACATAAGCTTTCTTGAAGACGCCATGATAATAAAATGTTGAAATAACGCAAATTTTCAGAAAAATTATCAAAATTTCAAGAAATCAATTTTTTAGGATTTGTCTATTCTTTATACAAAATAATGTCATAAATCCACATGTTATAAATATTAATAATGATTTTATTTGCAATCTAAGTAATGTCGACTGGAATAAAATTACATAAATAGGCTCAGATAAATGCTATGTGACAAATTTACTTATTTCTCTCTTTTAAGTAACTTTTTATGCATTAACTACAATACAATAACATTTAACTCGGGAAAACAAATCTTCAAATAAATACCATTATAAATAAATAGAAAATATAGCAACCTAGAAAATGTAACTCGAATTAAAAATATTAAAATTTTCTCTAAAGTTATTTTACTATCTTAATTTGATCTAATTTTAACTTATTTTAACCTAATTTTGTCTAATTTCCAATTTAGTCTTCATTTAATTTTAATATGATCTAATTTTCATTTTCTTTAATTTTAATTTATTTAATCTTAGTTTTATTTAATTTTAATTTATCTAATTTTAATTTTTATCTAGTTTTATCTAATCTTGATACATTATTCTAATTTTAATTTGATTGTCTTAATTTTATCTGATTTTATTTTTTATTTAATCTTAAAATTATTTTACTGTCTTAATCTTAATTTTCTGCAAAATTATGATGTTGTTGCTGTGACTTATCTCACCTGTGTGACAGCAATATCAAAGCGCACGAAATTCAGAGTATCAAGGAATGCAAAATTGCAGCTGTCGTTGGCAAGAACCTAGAGCACCATACGGGTGACAGTACGACTTTGCTCAGTTCCGCCCCCAATTCTGATGGAGAGCGGCCCGAAACGACGAATCCTAGGATATCCCACCCCTCTTTCCCTACCACAAATCTCTCGAGAGGGCCTTCGGCTCGCCGCATATTTAGAGTGCCCACATATCGCATGGACACAATACACTTACAAATATCCATGCTTTCTCCGGAATTCGAACCCGGTCCCTTTGGTACGGCATTCAGCGTTGCTAACCACTATCCCCTATCCCGAATGGACGGCATTCATTGCTATTTCACTTTCTATCTAACAAGAGCCTTAAAAACTTAAAATATAATAATAATAATAATAATAATTATTATTATTAATTATTATAAATATTAATTACTAATTATTATAAAATATTATAATTATTGACACAAAGTTTTAAATTTTGGCCATGCAAATTAAATTTGTGTCTAATTTTT